CTTTCATGGCATAAAGGTGCAAACTTTATGACCATTGAATCCCCTTGCAAGCTATAGGATGCCATTTTGGCCTTTTAAGCTCCAAAATGTCATGCATGGAGTGAAAGGTGGAAGCTTTACGTGCTCATGTAGTGTTTAGGGTCAATATCTCTATTCGTATGCTTTGGTTTGGAGTATGGATGGCTTGTGGACCAAGATCTAGGTCCTAAAGAGTTAGGGTTTGAGCTAAACCCATTAAGAAAAGGTATTAACGGGTAAAGTTGGAAATTTTACCCTTAAAAGGACATTTTCAGTGTATATGAGAAGCATGAAGCTTAGATTTGAAGATTTGGGGCTTAATCCATTAAGATGGCCCAAACAGACTGAGGAACTCGTCGATTCCGTAGAGGAACTTGACGAGTTGAGTTGATTTGTCCCGATTCTGTACAAGGTAGAACTCGACGAGTCTGTGAAGGGAATCGATGAGTTGACTCATTTTATCAAGATTACGAATAGCAAGGGAACTCAGCGAGTCAGGGGGATGACTCGACGATTTGAGTCAACTCGGAGTGTTGACTTTGATTTTGACTGAACGTTGACTTTGACTTGGACCTTGACTTTGACCAAGGTTGACCCGTGAAGGGGTCTTGATGTACAGAATGGTATCTAAGGGGTTGTTTTGTATAGGGTGTGAGTAGAGCCAGTTGCAGGAGCAGAGACGTTCAACTATTTCACTCGACATTTGAGGTGAGTTTTCCTCCAGTAGGAACGGGTCGAAGGCACCAATGACGGCCCGTTTATGTATGTTAGCATATGCCAGACTTAGGCCCAACCCGGGGTTAGCCCAATGTAGGTTATATGTTTCTGGACTTCGGTCTGATGTCGGGGAAAGCCCGAGGAATGTTTGTATGCTTGATGTCTTCGTGATTCTAGCATGTGTTTGTTTATATGTTCCGGGCTTCGGTCCGATGTCGGGGCAAGCCCGAGGAATGTTTAGCTTATATGTTATGTTTATATGTTTCGGGCTTCGGTCCGATGTCGGGGCAAGCCCGAGGAATGTTTAGCTTATATGTTATGTTAATATGTTTCGGGCTTCGGTCCGATGTCGGGGCAAGCCCGAGGAATGTTTATATGTTTATGTTCTGTGTTTATGTTACATGCTTGTTGATATGTTATATGTATACTGGACTTCAGTATGATGCCAGGCGGGGCCCGATGTCGGACTTCGGTATGATGCCGGGCGGGGCCCGATGTCGGATTCGTCCGATGCTGGGCGGGGCCCGATGTAGCGGGCAAGGCCCAATGTATGTTATTATGTGATTATGTGTATGGTATGTGGTAGTTTCGGAGACTCACTAAATTTCATGCTTACAGTTTTCAGTTTTGGTTTCAGGTACTTCCGCTAGTAAGGGGAAGAGCTCGGGATGACTGCATCGCACACACCACAACATTTAGCCTGGGATGATTTACTTTGATATTTAGACATGTGATTTTGATACAGTGTTTTGATATGATGTTTTGAGATATTATCACTTATGTTTTTATGAGATGATTTGGATTACTATGGTTTATTTATAAATTAAAACAAATTTTTTGGACGGTATTTTTGGGACGTTTCATTTAACATCACAGAGACTTCATTTAATGTTTCGGTTTAAATAAATTTGACTCATTTTCAAGTAAATGAGGTAAGTGGTATGGTTATCTATGAAAAGTCTAAATGAACCTTATATGATATTCAACTAAACCTAGAAAAATATACATTTCGGATTTTTGTTTGGTTTCTTCAGGGGCTTCCGTTTCGTGATTGCATTAATCTTGATCGGAGTCACCTAATTCCTTCATTTATAATGATTTGTCCCAAATATTGGCATTATGTAAGCAAAAGTCGCATTTGAAAACTTCACGTACAGTTTCTCACACTTTAAATTTTCCAACACCTTGTATAGATGATGTTTGTGCTCCTCTACTCTCTTGGAGCAAATAGAATGTCTTCGATAAACACGACTACCATCTTGTCCACATGCGGTTCATAACCTCCATGGATATTACTAACATGTTCCTAAGACCAAACAACATCACAAGGAATGCATACTAACCATAACGTGTCATGAAAGGTTTTGTGAACATCATTTTCTTTCACACATACCTAATGGTATCCTAACCAAAGGTCGATTTTGGAAAGAAATCTTCACTTCCAACCCCCCCCCCCCCCCCACACACACACACACACTTTCAATACATACACAAAAACACCCTATGATAAATACAATCACCTTTATAATAGCTTCTAACTATTTAGAATATCCAATTATTTCAAACCATACAGAAAAAATCATTATATTAATGCGAGAGCGCAACCTCTTGTACGCATGTTATTGAAAAACCTATAAAAAAACACAATTAAGTTGCTTCAAAAGAAAGGAATTTTTCATAAAATGAACACCAATAACATTATTTTTTTTTTGGAAATCTCCAATAAAGTCCCTACATTTTGACATCATATTCAAAGTCCTTATATTATTATTTTTTTATGATTAAGTCCTGAATATCGGGAATTGTATTCAATTTCATCCTTTTTCCAGGTTATCAGGTTTCCCACTATCAAAATTTACACTTTTGACCTAGATTTTAAACTTTATTACAAATTTGGTCCAACATTTACACTTTTTGTCCAAATTTTAAAATTTTGTTACAAATTCGTCCCAAATTTAGTTTTTTTTACATATATATTTTTTTAAAATTTTGTTTCAAATATGTTATTTTTGCGTTATAAAATCATATTTATACAAAGAAAACATATTTTTCACGTAAAACTCCTTTTTTCTATATAAAAACTTTTTATCACAAAATATTTTTTTGTAAAAATCTTGGTTTTTTATGGAAAAATATGTTTTTTATTTTAATAATTATCTTGGTTTGGTATTCGAAAATATATTTTTTTTTTGTTTTTAAACAAAATCTAGTAAACATAATCAACTTCAACGTTTTTTCTTATCGTTCAACCAAGGATGAAAAAAATTATTTTCACATAGGATGAAAAAATTATTTTTGTTTGTGCACCTATATAATTCGAAAACGCATAACATGTCAAAAATTATTTTTATAAATATCTTGGTTTTTTATGTGAAAATATGTTTTTTATTTTAGTAAATATCTTGGTTTTTTACTCGAAAAATATGTATTTGAGTTTTTAAGAAAATATCGTAAACATAATCACTTCAACATTTTTTATTTTAATATAGATCAATAAATTGTAACACCCATTTTCACTTATAAAAGTTAATAAATATAAGCATTTGTTTAGAAAAATGAAAGTGAAAATATATATTTTTTACTAAAATGATCAACATGAAAGTTATAGTAGTCGTCAAGATGAACACGTGGATATAAAGAACGTTGAAATGGAGTTCGTATGAAGAGGTTATGATTTTTATAAGTTTGGAAGAAAATAATAACAAATATAATTATGTTAATAAAACAATATGTGACCACTGTTTCTTTCTTATGTTTTTCTTAATATTTTAACATATTTTTCACATATAAGAATCTCTTTTTAACAAAAATCTTTTAAAAAGGGTTTTTATATAGAGAAAAGAAAGTTTTTTTTGTGTTTTTTTGTATAAATATGATTATATATATATATATATATATATATATAGATATATATATATCTCTATATATTCTAAACTAAATTTTGAAAAAAAAAATATGTAAAAATACTAAATTTAGGATGAATTCATAAGAAAATTTTGAAATCTATGCCAAAAGTGTAAATTTTTGATCAAATTTGTAATAAAATTTAAAATATGGGCCAAAGTGTAAATTTTAAAAGTGTATGACTTCTGAATCCGGTAAAAATGGTCAAAATGAATAAAATTTTGGATATTTGAGACTTAATTAAATATCATTTCTGGTATTCAGGACTTAATCAGAATATATATATATATATATATATATATATATATATATATATATATATATATATATGAGGTTAAATGTAGAGAATTTATTGAATTTTTTTTTTAAGTTATTAAACTTTTAACTGTACCCAATTGAGCTATAAACCTTTATTTTGGGTTACAACCAATTATACCGTCGTATATGTATTCATTTTACTTACGTTTTAATGTCAATTATAACCTTTCATTTTAATTTTTATGTCAATTGTTGTATTTTACTTTAACTTTAATGTCAATTATAGCATTTTGCATCAGACAAACCTTTTTTGCGTTGGATCAAACAAATTTTGCATCAGACCACATTCTACTTACATTCCAATTCACTTCTCGATCGACCCCCATCCTCCATATTTGTCATAAACAGGTTTGGCTAGCTTGGTTAGTATTTTCCTTCATATTTTTCCTCTTCTTCATCTTGTGTGTGCTTTACAAAGGGACAAAACTCAGTCAAGAATGGATTAGTACACATGTCGTCGGAAGTAATTCATTCATTATGTAAATCATCTAACTTTCCATCGGTATGAATATTAACTTCAATTATCTCATCTTTTCATTGAGGACATTCTAAAAAACAAAAACCCAGAAAAAAAAAAAGTCACTCAATATTACACCTAAAAAAAACGAAATCAGAAAGAAATGTTCAATGCGGAATTCAAATACAAATCAAAAGAAACAAACTTGGAGAAAATAAACCCAACTATGGTTCACATAACAAGTGGTATAATAAAACAAAAAATAAAAGTTTGCACGCCCAATTGGATAAGATCATAAGATTAAGCAAGTATAATAGTATTATCGATTGTCATTCTATAACATTATCCTTTTAAAAAAATGTTGGGTTTAATACACATACACACAAATTAATATAATGGTATTCTCAATAATTGGCATATAGCAAATGCGGTGAATTTGATTGTAATTTAGTACCCTAAAAAGACTACACATAGCAACAATACAAATGATCCCTACATCCAACTATCAGATTTTATCTACAGGGCGTCATTATATTCGTTTACTCTAAACAAATAAAAAAAACAATTGAAAACATATATAGATTGTGGGTATGTGAATAATAAGAGAAAAAAAAAACATCTAGAGTTGACTACACTCTAATTGTTTAAATCATATCACGAATCACGCCTACATTCTATTATATGAATAAATTACAAATACACAAGGAAAATCAAAAATTAAAATACAATTTTAATAAAATAATCGAGAAAGAAAAGCCAAGCCAAGATCAAAACTACCACTTGTACAATTTAAATCCTCTCTCAGTTTGTCAAGCAAATTTTATCTAGTCCGAGTTCTGTACTCACGAGTCTAAGTAAAGCTTGAACCAGATCTCTAACTCGAGAATTCCTGAACAATTAATTAATTCCAATATAAAGAAACAAACTTATATTTCTAACTTTAGTATTTTTGTCCATGTAAGGAAATGCAAAGTTGGACTAAAGTTGTAACTTCCACTATACCACAGGGATCGTTTCTGTAATTTACCTGGACTTAACGAGCTCACATAAGGGGGAAAATAAGACTAATAAATGTGCACGTTGACCAGGATTCTCCTCCGAGAGACCGCCTTTCAAAAGTGGATGCAATGGAAGAACTGAAGCTGTTTTTGGATGCAAGACAACGCGTGCCATCTCTTGGAGTACAAAAGCAATCTCACTGATTCTTGCTGCTGGAAACGCCTTTTCACCTTTTCATAATATAATAATCCAAACAAAAATCTTATCATAACTTATAATACAATTACAAACCTTTCACATTTGCTTGTGTTTGTTACATGGGATAAGAAGCATTTAAGGCGGAGGGCATTTACGTCTTTTTGGGTGGGAGAAAAAGTTGGAATTTTTATAGAGATTTTGATTACGCACCTAATTCCTTTTCGTTAGTCAAAAACTTCTTGAGTATGTATTCACATCTTGTCACAAGTATCATGACAGAAATTTTGCTTATTTCACTTCGAGTTGGGTTCCAGTTGTTAGCTTCATTGTTGTAACTGAGAAACACAAAACAGTAAAACAATAATTTAGATGATTTGAAACTAGAAGCATACAACAATAAGATACTTTAAACAATCCCCCATCCTAAGGTTCAGGTGTGAGGGCATTCACGTCTTTTGCATAGATGAGAGATTCAAAACAAGTCCTCGTCCCACCAATTTTGGGAGCGATAAAAAATTGCACTTTTTGTCTGATAAAGAATGCATGATATATATAAAGTAGGGGCAAACATCGAGGGACCTAATTGTAATATTTCTTATTTTTTTCATTTTATACCTCATTCTAGAATATCATGCTTAGCTAAGCATTAATAGCAATAATCATAGGATTAGTGTTTTTATCATTGACTATTTCCTCAACTATGTTCTAGAAATTATTTATCCATATTGGAATGTAAATATTGTACATATGCATTAACCTAGTTTTAGCCCATGGGCCCGTAGGGTTTCATATGTCTAGGGATACTGCCTCTTTATATACCCTGACATCTTCTTGTAATAAGTGTACAATTAACAAGGTTATTTTCACCCTAAATCTATTTTCTAGTTTACATGGTATCAGAGAGAGGTTTAGGGTTGGAGGGTTTTTTGCATTGAGAGATTACTGTTCACGAAGTACTGTTCATCGAGCACAATTCTGGTACTGTTCATCGGTACTATTCATCAGTGTTCCAGCACCTTGTGAGTGCACCGTTTTCTGATTAGGGCATCCTGTGAGTGCCGTTCTCTTTTCTTATTTGTTTCTAGTTCGTAAAGATGTCCGGAGGAGACAAATCATCTAGCAGCAGTGGTCCACGAGTACCTGAGTTGCTTCCGGTAATTGCTAGACTCACCGACAACAAACTTAATGGCTCCAATTTCTTTGAGTGGAACAAAACTATTTGGATCTACCTCCGAAGCATGGGAATGGCTTCTCATCTCACATCTGATCCCCCCAAAGGTGATGGTTCTGATTTGTGGCTACAAAGTGATGCTCGTTTGTATTTGCAGATTGTCACTACTATCGAGCCTTCTGTCTCTTCTCTGGTTAGTCACTGTGAATATGTGAAAGAACTTATGGACTATCTTAACTTCTTATATTCTGGACAAAGCAACATCTCACGAATCTATAGTGTTTGTAAGTCCTTTCATCGTGGGGAACAACAAGATCGATCACTCACCACTTATGTCATGGAATTTAAGAAAGTATATGAGGAGCTCAACTCCCTTCTTCCCTTGAGTGCTGATGTCCAAGCTATGCAGACTCAGAGAGAACAAGTGGCTGTAATCAGTTTCTTGATTGGTTTGCGACCAGAATTCGACTCTATCAGATCTCAGTTTTTGAATGAATCCGCCATTCCTTCCCTTCAAGAAACATTTGCTCGTGTTCTTCGAAATGAGAATATTCAGTCTCCACAACCTTCTGATCATAATAGTGCTTTGGTTAGTCGAGGAGGATTTCATGGTGGCTCCCGAGGAGGATCTCGTGGGGGTCATAGAGGGGGTTCTAGAGGTGGTCATAGTGACCGAACTACAGAATCACGGGTTGCTATCTCAACTTTTGATGACGTTGAGTGTTATTATTGTCATGATTTTGGTCACACCAAACGCACTTGTAAGAAGCTCTTGTCTAGAAATCAGAAAAGCTCATCAGCACATGTTGCTTCTATATCAAACAACACTATTACCATACCCACAGAAGAATATGCACGCCTTTTAAAGACTGAGAACTCCACTGGTCCAACTGCTGCATTTGCTGAAAAAGGTAACCCTAATACATGCCTATTATCTTCTGCCTCAAAATGGGTAATCGATTCAGGTGCCTCAGATCACATGACAGGTAATCCTACCCTCTTCTCTAGTCTTGATAAACACACATCTTCATCTCATGTCACGATCGCTGATGGGTCTACCCCACATGTTCTTGGTTCTAGCACTATTGAACTTACGCCATCTGTTTCCTTATCCTCTGTATTGAGTCTACCAAATTTCTCGTTCAATCTGTTATCAGTTAGCAAAATTACCCATGCCTTAAAGTGTTGTGTCTCATTCTTTCCTGATTATTGTGTCTTTCAGGATCTGTCGACGAAGAAGATTATTGGTAGAGGACGGGAATCTGATGGCCTATACATATTCGAACATCCAACACCTTACTCTTTGGCGTCATCCACTTCATCCCCATTTGAAGTTCATTGTCGATTAGGTCATCCGTCTCTGCAAAATCTAAAGAAGTTGTGTCCTGAGTTTTCTTATTTAACGTCTTTACAGTGTGAGTCTTGTCAGTTTGCTAAACACCAACGTATTCATTTAAGTCCAAGAGTCAATAAGCGGGTTTCATCCCCATTTGAGTTAGTCCATTCTGATGTTTGGGGACCATGCCCTGTTACTTCAAAACTTGGGTTTAAATATTTTGTTACGTTTGTTGATGATTATTCACGTACTACCTGGCTTTATTTTATGAAAAATCGATCTGAAGTGTTTACACATTTTTGTTCATTCTATGCTGAGATTAAAACACAATTTAAAACCGCCATCCAAACCCTTCGTAGTGATAACGCAAAAGAATATTTGTCTCAAACATTTCAGTCTTACATGCTTCAAAATGGTATTCTTCATGAGTCTTCCTGTGTTGACACCCCAGCCCAAAATGGGGTCGCAGAACGAAAAATCGTCATCTTTTAGAGGTGGCTCGGGCTCTTCTATTTCACATGTCTGTTCCTAAAACTTATTGGGCTGATGCGCTTTCTACTGCTTGTTTTCTCATTAATAGAATGTCTTCTGTTGTCTTGGATGGTATGAGTCCACTCTCGGTTCTATTTCCTACAAAGTCATTGTTTCCTGTCGAACCAAAGATCTTTGGGAGTACGTGTTTTGTTCGTGATACCCGACCACACCTAACCAAGTTGGATCCGAAGTCCTTGAAATGTGTCTTCCTTGGTTACTCTAGACTTCAGAAAGGCTACAAGTGTTTCTCTCCTACACTCAATCGGTACATTGTATCTCGAGATGTTACATTTCATGAAAATATACCCTTCTTTCCTATGACCAATCGTTCCAACCCAAGTGTGTCTGATGATCTGTTGGTATATACCCTATAGCCTATAGCCTCTTTTGTATCCTATGGTAAACTGTCTGCAGCTTCACGCTCTATGATCTCTACACTTGATACTATACATGTTACTAAAACGGTTGGCGAAGCCTTGAACCATTCTGGATGGCGGGATGCTATGATTGATGAGATCAATGCTCTTGATCATAATAATACATGGGAGTTGGTAGAATTACCAGTAGGTAAAAAGGCGATCGGTTGTAAATGGGTATTCACGGTGAAAGTCAACCCGGATGGATCTGTGGCTCGTCTGAAGGCACGGTTGGTTGCTAAAGGATATGCTCAAACTTATGGGGTTGACTACTCACAGACATTCTCTCCTGTGGCTAAGGTATCTTCCATCCGCTTGTTCATTTCATTAGCTGCTACTTATGGTTGGGCCCTTCACCAACTAGATGTGAAGAATGCCTTCCTACATGGTGATTTACATGAGGAAGTTTATATGGAGCAACCACCTGGGTTTGTTGCTCAAGGGGAGTATGGCAGGGTTTGTAAGTTGCGTAAATCATTGTATGGTTTAAAGCAATCCCCTCGGGCTTGGTTTGGACGGTTTAATGCTGTGGTAAAAGAGTTTGGCTTACGAAGAAGCTCTTATGATCATTCTGTGTTCTTTGCTTCATCTTCTTCTGGATGCATTCTGCTAGTGGTGTATGTTGATGATATTGTGATTACTGGGAGTGATGGAACTGGAATCAAGAAACTGAAAGATTTTCTTGCATCTCGATTTCAAACCAAGGACCTAGGTCCTTTAAAATATTTTTTGGGAATTGAGGTCTCTCGTACTCGAAAAGGGATCTGTTTGTCTCAACGAAAATATTGCTTGGATATTCTGAGAGATTCTGGGATGATTGAAACAAAGCCTTGTGAGTCCCCAATGGTTCCGAATATGAAATTGAAAGCAGACGATGGAGATCCACTTGAGAACCCAGAGAAATACAGAAGAGTTGTGGGAAAACTTAACTATTTGACGATTACACGTCCAGACATTGCTTTTCCAGTGAGTGTTGTAAGTCAGTTTATGTCGTCACCTCGAACTTCTCATTGGGATGCGGTTACTCATATTCTAAAGTACCTAAAGGGTGCTCCTGGTCATGACATCCTATATCAAAATCATGGTCATCATGTCATTGAAGGGTTCACAGATGCTGATTACAATGGAGATCCTACAAACAGACGGTCTACCACAGGTTATTGTGTATTTGTCGGAGGGAACCTAGTTTCGTGGAAAAGTAAAAAGCAAAATGTCGTTTCACGATCAAGTGCCGAATCTGAATACAGGGCTATGACTCAGACTACATGTGAGCTGATATGGGTACGGAATTTGTTAGGTGAAATTGGGTTTGCTCAATCAAAACCAATGAACCTGTATTGTGATAATGAGGCGGCTATCCATATTGCAAACAATCCCGTGTTTCACGAAAGGACTAAACACATCGAAGTAGATTGTCATTTCACTCGTGAAAAGCTAGAAGATGGAACCATCTCTACTCCTCATGTTCGAACAGGAAACCAACTAGCTGATGTCTTTACCAAAGCTTTACCTGGTTTGCGGATATCTGCAATTTGTAACAAGCTGGGAATGTATAACATTTATGATCCAGCTTGAGGGGGAGTATTGGAATGTAAATATTATACATATGCATTAACCTAGTTTTAGCCCATGGGCCCGTAGGGTTTCATATGTCTAGGGATCCTGCCTCTTTATATACCCTGACATCTTCTTGTAATAAGTGTACAATTAACAAGGTTATTTTCACCCTAAATCTATTTTCTAGTTTACAATCCAGAACCAGAACCAATGTAGGTAAAAGTGCTATTTGGAAAGAAAGAGCAAGGCTGATGTTATTAGGCATTTAATATAAAAAAAATGTTCCAATAACTCAAAATCAATAAAAAAAAAAAACTAATCGACAAGAGATGAAAGGTTGGAAGTCATAAATATCAAATACCTGCTCAAGGAAAACAACTTATGTAAGCAAGTGAGAGAGAATCTGCTACAGTGAGGAGGCACAAGTTCAACTGTCTCAACAGGCAAAGAACATGTACGAGAAGCACATCGGTCAAGGGTAATTATCAACCGTTCCAAGATCTGTCAATAAAGGAATTCGAATGTAATTTTATGTCAAATCACCAAAATACCCTTTATAGCATCTAACCCTGAAAATAACTTTATTTGTATGAATACAAAGCAATTTTCATTGCTGGTATATTTTTCAAAGTATAATGTCTAACAAAGAATTTGAAGTACAATGCTGCAACTAGGTAGATTTTGCAAAGTACAATGCCTTAATAAGAAAAAAAATTTGAAAATCAAATGTTCTAGTAGAAGAAAGTGATAGCAGAATGCTATAATAAACCCAAAAAAAAGTATTTTTACTGTTAAATGCAAGAAATAGCAACATACTTTTTTTTGTTTATAATAATATCTTTAGTTTAGTTTCTTTCTATTAGAACATTGTACTTTAAAGAATCTACCAAATTATGGCGATGTCACCCACATATAAAGCAATTTTCAAAGTATAGGGACCATTTCTATAATTTTGTGAAACAGAGGGACCAATTTGTGATTTTGTAAAACACAGAGACCATTTCTGTAGTTCTGTGAAACACAGGGTCCATTTCTGTAACTTTGTGAAGTGCAGGGGCTATTTTCGGCAATTTTGTGATACACAGGGACCATTTTTGTAATTTTGTGAAACAGAGGGACCATTTCTGTAACCTTGTGAAACAGATGGAACATTTCTGTAATTTTGTGAAACAGAGGGACCATTTCTGTAATTTTATGAAACAGAAGGACCATTTCTGTAATTTTATGGAACAGAGGGACCATTACTGTACTTTTCTATTAGACAGGGACCATTTTGTGACTGTGTGAAACGCAAAGACCATTTCTGTAGTTTTGTGAAACACAGGGTCTATTTCTGTAACTTTGTAAAGTGCAGGGGCTATTTTCTGCAATTTTGTGAAACACAGGGACCATTTTATGAAATATTCTGGGATTTCTATAATTTTGTGAAAGATAAGGGCGATTTTGTTAAATAGCGAATAGTATAATATAAGTAGAATGGTGAAAGGAGTTACATCAGGAGAAGCATCGATGTCTGACATGAGAATTTTGTCTCCCAAAACATCTAAAAGTTCCATTTCAAGGGATTCATCATCCTCCTTTGATATTGCAGCAAGTGAGCTGGAAGGAAGAGCACGTCCACAATACCCTACAAGGAATATCTCATACACATCAGCAACTTCTTTCCAAAGCCGAATTCTTGCAGGCTTGTTACTGTTACTGTTGATGCTGCTGATGTCTTGTGATAATTTGCTGATGTCATCAACGAGTAATTGGTTGAAGCTTTTGACAGCTAGTCCCCAAAGTCCACCATCAGGGTTTTCTCTTCTTGTTATCATGCACCTGTAATGATGTAGATGTAATAATAATAAATAGGATTAAATGTAATTAAGAGATAGCAATTGATATGTTTTTACCTTCCAAGAGCTTGAATAATGTAAGGAAAAGTAACAGCCTTTTCAGCTACTGGAGCCTGTAAGAACAAATCTACCAACACAGGAACAAGCTTTTCAGCAAATAAATCACTTGAGATGGTGAGTGCAGGAGCTTTTTTTGAATCAAAGCTTGAAGATGAAGATACTTGAATTTTTTCACTAAAAGTGGTTCCATTAGTCACATCACTCATCTTCCTACCATCTGTGGGAGATAATACTTAAAACTTTAGCTTCAAACAAAAAAATATAAATAAAAATGAAAACAACTTAGTGAATACCGAAAATGGAGCCCCTTGATTCAACACGATTTGCAGCATCTCCTTCTGAAGAATCAGAATTTGGAAGATATTGCAAGAGCTTCTGGAAGAAGACAGCCCACAATGATGGAAGGTGTTCAGGTGGACTTAATTGTGGAATGATGTCCAATACTACACGCTGTACTGGTGGTATGTGTCCCTGTAAAATATATATATATATTTTTTAATAATATGTAGAATATAGGGTTTTTTTTTGTAGATATTCAGTTTTCCATAGATTTTATAGGCTAAAAATTTATTTAGAATATCCAACAATATCACAGTGATGGCTTCCGCATATTGTTCCACTGAAATCTAAGCGATTATGATAATATTTTTCTAATAGTGTACGTTCTTTACCTTTACTCATGAAGGATTCTAGAAAAATGATAGTGCAAAAAAAACTTTATTAGTGCCATGAAGTACTCAATTAAGGCTAAAGGCTCAAATGTAATAACTACTTGGGTTAAATGGAAGAAACAACAGTGTACTTTCATTGATCTGTTCATTAAAGTATCCTATTTTCATTTCTTCATATTACAGCATTTTACATGGAATAATATACCAATTATAGCAATGTCATCTAAATACAATGCAATTTTCAGTAAATTGCAAGTACAACGCTATAATTGGGTAGATTTTCCAAAGAACAATGCCTGAGGAAAAAATTGAACTTATGCAAAGATTAGCACACTCACAAATTCAGCTTCAAAGTTGTTTTGAGTGATCTTTGCTTCTTTGATTGCAGAGTTAATGATGGAAAGCAATTGCCCATACATGCTGCTGTCAAACATCCCTTGTGCATGTGCATACACTTCTCCTGTTAAAAAGAGAAGAAATTCAGAATTTTTTTGGTGAATGTGATGGTTTATTGAAAACTGTTATATGAGCAGGGGTTGATAAAACATGAAGCACATGTTTATGGTCAAAATGCAAGAAATAGCAACGTATTTTTATTGACTTGTTTATTATATCATCATACTTTCATTTCCTATTAAAACATTCTACTTTGAAAAAAACGAAAGGAACAAGGCTATATTTGGGCAGATTTTTCAAAGTAAGAAAAGATATTTAAGTACAATGATGTAATAGAAAGAAATAGAAGTGGGATGCTATAATACAAAAACAAATGAAAGTATGTTGCTATTTCTTGCAATTAAATTAGCTGTCAAAGGTCATGGAAACTATTACCTAGCCCGTGTATTATCTCCTGCTTCACCTTGTTAGCTGCCATGTCACCACATGCAGTTGGATTGCGGAGAACAATATCATAAACATCAAGAACAGATTTGAGATATTGCATTGGCAGATTTCCCTAGTCCAAAGGATTACAATATAAGTAGGTAGATGAATATTTAACTAAATTAATCTCAAATTATTATAACAATAAAGTTTCCAATACTTAAAACGAGATTGCAAGACAAGAATTTAACATAACAATACCAACAAGGCTACATGCATGTTTAGTCCATGGATTCCAACGGAATTGGAATACGAGATTCCATTCCATGACCTCTTTGCCAAATGGATGGAATTCAATTCCACCGGAATCCATCGAATTCCATGTTTGATGGATTTCACCGTATTCCTAGAGGAGGATGGAAGGAATTCAATTTCATCCATCTTTTTTATCATATGACCAAAATTATATATATATATATTAAAACAAATAAAAATAGAAACTTCAATCATCTATATTTACAATAAAGAAAAAAAATACTTAAATATAAATCAAACTTTGAAAGATAATTAAAGAAAATAGCATGCATACCTTGGGGGAATGAGAGAGGACTGTTGACTGCAAACACCCTACTGCAGCAAGGGCAACCTCTTTACTGCCATTTGCAATGCTGTTCTTCACAGAACAGAGCAAAGACTCCCATCCTACACAACAAATATTCAACTTCACCATTGTTCTTTTTTAAAGCACACTTGTTTTTGAAGAAATTATAATCTTTTAAATGAAGACATACCTGACCAAAAATTGGTTAAACTCATTAATAGTGGAAAGAAAGTACGCAGGATACGAGCAATTCCACCAAACACAAGCACAAGTGTTTCATCCCATTGTTTTTGAGCAGTGTTGCGACTGGATGTTTTACAAAAAAAAACATTTAAATTTATTGTAAAACTGAAAAGAAGAGTGAAATAAGTGTAGAAATATGAATGAAACAAAGTCTATGTTGACATGCCTATGATGTATGAGCATATGAACTGCTTTTCCACCACGGACACCGAGTTCTTTCCCCTGCCATTCGTCTTTGGAAGATGTTGCAGCCTGTAAATATATATATTTGTGTTTTTTCTTATTAGGGCATTATACTTTGTAAAATCTATAGAAGTAAAAATTGTTTCATATTTGGATGACATTGCTATAATTGGGTTGATTTTTCAAAGTATGATGTGGTAATAGGAAGGAATGTAAGTATGATGATATAATAAACAAAAAAAAGGAAGTATGTTGTTGTTTCTTGCATGTAACTGTAAACACTATGATGTATATCTTGCATACACTAAATCTTACCATGTGAGAAGCACGATCCAAAGTGGTGAAAACATAATTCCATAAACAATCTTCCCACATGCTTTTTGAAAGCTTTTGCCCATGGCTCCCAAGGGTTTGGAAAAGTGTTCTCACAGCTGAGTTCCTAACCTACACATGAATAACAAAAGTAATAGCCAAAGTTACATGTAAATAATAGCTTCCAAATGTAGACATAGCATATATATGAATCATAAGCATTTTATATACAAATGTACAAATGAGAAAAGGTATTGCATACTTTAAGATTCTACACCTACAAAGAAAATAATTTTATCATATATGAAGGATATCACGGATAACTGAAGCAATAACCCAAAAGCCTTAACATATCTCCACCATAAGTCCATAACAATAACCTTTCCTCAACTTATTTATGGGCCCCACCAATTTTAAATTATACTTTTTTATATAAATCAATCTATTTGGGAATTAAACAGTGCATATAATTTTCTTATTACATTAAATAAATTTAAAACAAATAAAACTTATTTAATATATAATTTTATTATCATAGAGAAAAAAAAATTAAAATAAATATACTATTAGTATTAATTTAAATTTTTAAATTTATTTTTAACTTTTTATATTGTTCATATAGATATTTTTATTTTGCATTATTTTAAATTAAGTATTTATATTTCAAAATGATATTAAAACTTATAAAGTAATTAACAAATTGAAAAAAAAATGAAAAGGGTTTGAAAGAACTCATTGGCAACAAGTTGAAGAGAGATAAGTGAGCCGAAAAAGCTCTTGCAATGGTTACCAACTTTTTTCAACACAAAAGGCAAAGTAATAAACTCCAATTTCTATTCAATGATATCATTTAATTAATTTCAGGCTGGAGTATATTCTATAAGTTTCAAGAAGACAAATATGGTTGACTAAATAAATAGATATTACCTCAGGCCTGTCATCAGCTCCCAGTTTTTGGAGTAACGAAAAAACAGAAAACAGCAATTTTTCATGTTCAGCTACAGTTACTGAAGGATCATGTTGGTTAACTTTTTTAACAATATTCAGACTCTGTTCTATCTTTTCACCATTCTTGTTCTCTAACATTTCTGCAAAATAAACAATCTAAAGATATAACTTATTTGTAAAGTGAAGATAACCAAATGATATACCAAATCAGAGCCAAACCTCTTTCCCTATCCTCTGTAGGAACCTCTAAAAGACCTTTTGCTATAAAATCAGTTGAAGTCCACAGTAGTCCAATTGCTGTTAAACTGATGTTCAATTCAGTCTTCTGAGCACTATATGCACCAGTAACATCTAAACATCTGCATAACTCCAAAAACAAGCTCAATAAGTAACCAAAATAATTATTTATCAAAACTCATAAATATTTTGTTGAAAAAAAAAAAAAAAAAAAAACTCACACGTGGAGAAATTCTGGAGGTACAGTTGAAAGCCCATCATTCATGATGACACGTAGGCTCTACAAGAAAAGAGAGCAAGCTGGATAAAGTAATCAATGATAAAACAGTTTTCAAAGCATGGGATAAATGTAAAATTAAACAAATCAATAAATATGCTACAACTGTAGTTTTTTTGACTTTTCACCAGAACTACTACTGCTTTCAGTCATTTTAATTGGATAATGTTTACATTTTATGCAATGGTTTAACTAGGTATGTAGCCCCCCAAACTAATAACATGAATTAAAAAAAAATGAAAATAGTCTGCATACAATATGGTATCTTATCTTTTTTCTGCTTCTAGCATCATTTTTGTGATTTGTTATAATACTAGGTGTTAAGCCCGTGTATTACACGGGTTGATTAAAAAAATATTAAATATTAAAGTGTAACATTAAATATTTTTAAAATAAAATTTTGAAATAATAAATAAGGAAGAAACATATTCATTGCAATTTATGTCACATTTATTACAATAAATACTTTACATATATAAGTATAAGTATTATGTGGCATTTTAGATTTAAAATTTAAAAAATCCAGAAAATGACGTGTGGATAATATATATTCTAAAAATACTATAAAATGACTAGTGTCAAAACTCATAAGAGATTGACAAGTAGCAAAATGGATCTTCATTTATTAGAGTAGATGAATCTACAAGAATTATGCTCAGTTCTGGTGATTAACTAATCAATTGGTCTATCTGGTTGGATGGAATGGACTAAAAATGTAATAGAGTGGACAAGCTAATGGAATGAGTGATTACATTCCGTTATCTTTTTTGGATGACCTATTGGAATGGAATGGCCATTTAACTACATTGTTTGATATGCATTAATAATTTAACATACACATGAACTGAATTAAATTGGTAAGGAAAGAATAAGTTTTCTTTTTATGTAAATAAAATCTAATTAAAAAACTGTGAGATACTATCAAGTATTAAGGTTTTATTAATTTTCTATACTACATTCAAATATGTGTATAACATAACATCAGTTCTAGCCAGTGCATAATTTAATAAAAACAATCAAAAAATTTATCTACAACAAAAAGAATATATTTTTCAATGATATAAAAAGTGATTTCATTGAAACGGAATTTTATATTAAGATGACCAACATATCATTAGGTTGCTAAGTCTTGAATAAAAAATACAATATTTTAAGAATGTAATAGTAATAAGAACTTTTTACTAACCTGGAATCCGAGTGTGACAAGATCCTTTTCAGATGATCCAGCAACTGATCTAAAGAAGAAAGGAATGAGAGGTTTAACCAACATCACAGCATACAAACACCACACAAATATGTGACCAATTGTTACCTTAGCATTTCAAGAATATTTGGCCAGCTATAACACAGCTTATCACCATGCCTCTGCAAAAAAAAGTTTCCACCAAAAGAAAGAACATGAACTATGAAACAAAATAAAGTAAATACTCCATTCATCCCACAAAATTGGAGGATTATAAAATCTCGAGTAAATTACAAAAAGTCAAAATGGTACATGTGGGATAGTAAAATGACAGATTTACCCCCATTTTGTCCCTTTGTTTTTTGTCTTTTTTATTTTTTTATACACACCATTCGTAATGATTCCAATGGAGTTATATTATATGATTATGAAAACAATAATATTACAAATAAAAAAAAAAACAAGAGGGTAAATAGGTTATTTTATGATGTCAACACATGAACAGTTAGAATTAACGACCCAGGGACCAAAACCGCAACAAATTGAAACCATGTAACAAAATCTGTAATTGGGCTATGTAAAAAAAGTCAACTGATATCGGGCATCTTTAAATTGGATCCAAAAGAATTTATATGGGAAAGAGGATATACCAAATACACACACACACTTGAACATTTAAAAAAATGAAACACATTACCTCTAAAACATGCAGAAGGATTTTTAAGGATCCAGCCTGAACATCACTGCTCTGACACGAACCATAGAGGACATGAAGTGGAGATATCACAGAGATTTCAAGTGCCTTCATTTCTGTTTTGCTCTAGTAACAAAAAAAAAAAAAAAAAATTTATAAACTGAAGTGTAATTCTTGTATATAAAGACATAAAAATGGAACATTTTCACATACACCAAGGTGTCTTGACAATGCATGTTCCTCAAACTGATCTGAACCTAAAACTGCAGAAATTGATTGGTCCAAAGCATTAAGCGCCATAGTTCGCAAGTGGTGATTAGGGCTATTAGCAAGCTGCAAAAAACACCTTATCATGTTAATAACAGGTTTGTAATGATGATGTCAGCATGATGTAATCATGTAAAATGTAATAACCTCAACAAAATGCCCAACAACTTCTTCCCACAGTGGCTGAATCCCTGCATGAAAATAGGTAAGCCACAAACTAAAGCAAATAACAAGCATTAAAATAACTTACTGTGAATATTATTGACTAGAATGGATATCATTCTCTCAACTGCAAAACTAATGCTTCCTGTTTTCTGACTTGATGTTTGTGAAATACCACTTAATGTTCCAGCCATTGATTGATGTGACAGCTGGCGGAGTGCAGAAAGAAGTGATTTAACTGCAGATATATGCATCAATCCAGAGCTCTCAAACAACTTCACACAAGAAAAAGAAAAACAAGAGGTTAGTAAATTAATAAAATATTTGGTTATATTTATTGTTCAAGGGAAATATAAAGGTCACCTGAGAATTTAAAGATGAGAGAATACTGAATTCACTATACTGGCCAGATGTTTCTCTAGGAAGCTTTGAGACAGCTGCAGATGCATCCTGAATAAAGAACCAATATTTTTAAAAATTCAGGTTCTAGTTTATTGATAATGGGTCAAACAGTTAATTTAGAAAGGAAAAGAAAAATAGATATAAAGGAAATGGGTCAAATGGGTGAAAGTTACTTTAATCACCTAACCTGTATTATTTGAACAACTTAGACAATTATTTTATTAATACAGTTTTTCTAACCATATTCAATACATTAACTCTTGATAAAATTTAAAACAGAAATACACCAAAAAAAAAAGTATTGATGGGCCAACCTGACCCGTTTTGACCTGAAGTTAAAAATTAAAAATTACTCGTTTTGACCTGTAACCCAAACCCGCCCGTTTTACACCTCTGGAAGATTTATTATTTTTGCCACATCATCTTTCCAGTAATATTTATTTAACAAAAACCAATTAACACAAACCTTCTCTAGTAGATTAACCTTCTTCAAAATCGTTTTTTAAAAGTTTAACTAATTTATTCTCCTCTGTGTTATATATTTTATAAAGCCCACTCATCTAACTTTTTGTTTTTTAAGTACATGTCAAATAAATTTAACTAATTTACCATAATCTACTATCACCAACCTTCTCCAATATCTTCATTTTTATTTTGTATATTTAATATATAGATTAACTAGTCAAAAAATAATAAAGAAAAAAATGACCATTGGAGATGCTCTAATAGCCCAAGTATTACCTGGGTTGTTGCATGTGGAGAATGAATTACTCGATCAAGTGCTGCTAGAGTCTCCAAAACCTACATTGTAGAAGATAAACTGTTGTTATATTTATATTATTTATTATTATTATTATTATTATTATATATACAAAAAGGTAAATGGTCATACCAACACCCACGAAGGTCCTAGAACATTGTATAACCGATGAGTTATGTTGAAGAGAGTCCTGAGGGCCTAACTTACATGAAACACAAAAGAAAACAAGTTACTGATTGGATGATCAAAATAGGCAAAAAAAAAAAAAAGGAAATTTAACAACAATGGGATTCACATAAACCATATATACCTGAACATTCTTAAGTGTAAGAATAACAACATCCCTTTGATCTACCACTACTTCTATCCGCTTTGATCCCACAGATTGTAAACTTCGGCTAAAAATAAAAAAAGACACAATATAATTAGTGTAGATTTTAGTCATTTTACAAATGAACACATGGTAATCTTTGAGATTATTATTCCTTTATAGATAAGAAAGCATAAGAACTGAAATGCAAAATGAACAATGCATCAAGAAAAAACAATATAATTAGTAAGGACCTTCTCCTTTCAGATTCATTTGATGAACTTATGGTGAATTTGCAAAGTGATGCAAGAAATGAATTTAAAGGTTCCACAGCTCGAAGAACACCACATGCCTGCACAAAAGCGGAAATACCCAATGTACCCTTTAATAAAGATAGTGATTAATAATGCAAAGTAAATAGCAGATATCTTAAGGCTAACTCAGAAGCAAGAAAAAGCAGGACCAGAAGTGGAATTACATGTGAAAAATCAACCACACTGGATTCATTACTAACTAAGAATAAAGATACAGATTTATTCATCTATGTATATACCTGTAAAAGGTCACATGGCACAGTTCAAAACAAATGTTTGACTATTGGTTAAATGTCTAAAATACCCTTTTAACATGGACAAAATAGAGAAAAAATCGTAGAACAAAGTCAATTCATCGACATCAAGTAATAAATAATAATGGGCATGATCCTAAATTTGAATTTAAAACTTAACAAAAAAGAAAATAGACACAGTTTTTAGGGCAACCCAAAATAAACAAGTATATGTGTCCCTATATATCATTGACTTTTTATACAGCATATTGTTCTTTAAGAAAAAGAATTTAGCAGCTACCTGTGTAAACGCTTGATAACCCTTCAATATCTCTAACACTATAGCCTCACCCTGTGTTCTGTTTGTTAAAAAAACTTCAGTGAACAAACAATAATTTGTTTTTACAATAAAAAAAGAGAAATCTGTTAAAAAAAACACAGTACTTGGATAAAATCAAGGATAGTGCATCAAGGACAGTCAACCACACTGAATCAACCATGGTTGTACATAGAACTGCAGTTTTTCCAATAAGCTTTGCAGGTGGATCTGACTCACATCTTGGGGATTCAAGCTGAGTAAAAAAAAAAAAAAAAAAAAAAGCATGTCATGTTACATAAGAATTAAGTATTGAAATAAATAAAATAAGAAAATGCAAAGTTACCTCACCAACATCCACTGCCTCATCTGTCAAGGTAGCCACTGTGAAAACAACTCCAAGTAGGCCTTCAATGGCTAAAGTTACTGCATGGGCTTCACTTGCAACCAAAACAGCAGCATTGGATGCATCATTATCTAAACTCCATTCAACTCCTGAAAGAGAGGAAGAAAGGAATTGAATTCCAATTGGAAGGAATGGAATCTGTCAAGGGAATTGGTGAAGGAATCATAATCCATCATGTGTTCGGTTGGCAGGAAATGGAATGGAATTCAATTTTAAAAAATCAGTAACTTTTGTATTTTAATTTATATTCAAATATTCTTTGTTTATATAGTAAATATATAAATAACTAGACTTTAATTTTTATTAATTTTCACTATATATATAATGAGGCTATTTTGGTCTTTTAATAAAAAGGAAAGAATGGAATTGAACTCTCTTCACCCTCCAATTTGCAAGAAATGCATAGCAGTTGAAAATAAGCATAAAGATATTTCTTGTTTATTGATCATCAATTCATCATTACCTTTAGCTTTACTAGTAAACATTCCCGCAACAGCTGCCAAGCTCTCCTCGCTCGTCTCCTGAAACTGAAAAATGGAGCGACATTATATTTAGAGTAAGTTACATTATTGGTCCCTGGAGATAGAAGATTTTTGCAAATTTGGTCCCAAAAAGTTTTCTCTTGCAATTTTGGTTCCTTAGTATAACTAATATTTGTAACTTTGCTCCCCAACATACAGTTATTTTACTTGGAAAAGGAACCAGAAACATTACAAAAACATCAAATAAGAACAAAAACTGAGAAAGAAATCTTTTTGGGGCCAAAACTGAAAAAATCAGCTATACACAGCGACCAAAAATGTAATTTTAACCAACATGGGAAGACTTGGAGAGAAAAGTAATGAAATATTCTATGATTGAATGACCAAACCACCCCTGACCTAAACCAACTCATTTTATATGATAAAGGTTATCATTGTAAAATTGACATGTTTCTTTTCTTTCCTTCCAAATCGAGAACACGAAAAAAAAGTTAAAACATTGTCAACAAAATATTAAGTAAAGAACCCACAAATCTAATCTGTAAAGGAAGAAGAATCCACTATGATTAAGAAGAAAGGGAAGGAACACTCCACAACACCAAGATCAAAGATTTCTAAAAGAAGACGAAAATTTCTGGAAAATAAAGGCTGCTCTATATAATTCCATATATCATTCAAAAACTGACTATTACAAAAGTACAAAACCCCTAGACTCTACAGGTTTTGTGAACAACCTCTAGACTTATATACCTTTTATATATGCAAAATTACCTTTTACTCAAGCAAAATATTTAACCTAACTAAACAAGTCAAAAAAGCACAAGCAATAGAGAATTTGAATTGAAAGAGTAATGTTTGAAGGAAAGAGGATATTATCACAACTTGAATTACTATCAACTAGATGACATATTTAGACAAAATATAAGTTATTGGATAGAAAAAATGAAAGCTCAATAGTGTATATATATATATATATATATATATATAACATGTAGTACCTGCACACTTGAAACCACTCGAGCAAGAGCTTTTATCATACCCTCAACTACATTTGTGTTCTTTGGGTTCCTGCAAAAAAATGGCACTTTGTTATCTACTTTATCATTCAACTATGTGGAAGTATTTTGTAGACTACTTGATGAAGCATGTAGACGAACAAAGGAAGATCTAATTTGTTGTGTGAATTAATCTAAGTAAGCAAAAAAATATGAAATAAAGATTCATTAATATGTATTGTTAGAATATGTAGTCAGGGTTCTTGCCCAATTTTAGGACATTTAAGAACCCTAATGACAGATATTGTAGTACATGACTATTACCAAGTTCAAGATCATGTAACAACTAAACATCATTTATTTCTTATATGTTTTATATAAGGAAACATGATAATGCTAGAAGAGGTCAGATTTAATGTCTAGTGTCCACTTAGTCATCACATTATTCAAAAGACAGATTTTTATATGGTGTTGTAGAAGATGAAATTTTGGTTAACGTGAACAAACATCAAATGACATTAATCAATTGCCCAACCTATAAAATAGAAATTCATTATGAACACATACACAATGAATAAGTTGTCTGTTTGAGTGTGAAAAGGGATGCACAATGAATAAGTTATCTTAATTAACTTCAACTAGAAACATAAGTATGTTAACTAGCTTACATGTCAAAATTCTGAAATAGAATTCTCAGAGTATGTGCTTCTACACAGAAACCCTGCAAAATATACAACAACTGATAGTTAGATGAAAGGTTTTGGGAGGTAATATTTATATATAAAAGACTAAAAACTGCAATAGTTAGCTGTATTCAACCCGTCCAGATTTACCCTCAAGATTTCAAGTACAAGAATACGATGCCACAATGGCAAATCAAGTGATGTAGCCCTCACTAACATGCTGAGAAACACCTGTACATTCAAAATTAAAACTGCCAAATCAAAATTAAAAAGAAAACAGAAGTGTCATTGCAAAATGCTAGTTCTTCCATAAAGATTGTACAGAATTAGTGGGTAGCTTTTCATTTGTTAAACATTCACAATTGCTAAATTAAAAAAAAAAAAAAAAAAAAAAAAAAAAAAAAAAAAAAATACCTCAGATTCAGTGATGAGGGATGAACTATAATGCCTAATTATATGAGCTACAGATCGCAAGACAAGGCGACGAAAATAAGGCTCTCCAGTTTCTCCTTCAATCTATTATGAAATACAAAGTTAAGTAAAGTAAGCAATATGATTCAAATTAGAGCATGTTGACTTGTTGACTTGTTGACTAGACCATTTACCTCAGAATTAGTACGAAGTGATGTCATTAGAAGTGAACATATTTGGTGACGTAAGACCTGTAGATTTTTAAGGCTTGTAGCAATTTAGAACTCTTTTTGCTTCATGAGAGAGAAACTCTATAAAGAAAGTGGATTACTAAATATTAATCACCTGCTCATAAGGAAGCAGAGCTCTAAACACAGCCACATAATTAGATAAAATAAACCTGAAGATTAAAAGAGAAAAACACAAATATATTAGGTCAGTTGGAATGTTGGATCTTCAATAAAGATGAATAATAGAACAGTGTAATAGTTAAAAGAACCTTATTTTGCATGTCTAGATTACTATAGGGAAAATTACAGATAACCCAATTATATTTTGATACCAAAGATTGAAAGAAGAATCCTTACTCAAGTATATCAAGTGCAAAAGTCCGCTGAATGGAACCAACATGTAACCAAATGGCCTGAAACAAGGAGACACACACCATTTATCTTACACATCTTCAATAAAATAAACTAAAAATTTAGAAATTTTTACAACTTTTGGAAAATAATAGAAACAGAAATTATCACATACAGATCCACCTGCAGCAAGAGCTGTCAGGTCCTCGAGCAATCGTAGCCCAAGTTTTCCAGCTTTGGTTGATGTATCTCTCATCTTTGCCTTTTCTAAATACATCAAGCCTTCCATTGACCTGGTCAACGGAATTTAGACATGTGTGAAATACAGATGAGTTATTACTTATTACACAAACAAAAAAGAAAAGAAAATCATTATGTTGAAAACATGGTGTACATAATACCTTGAGTTGTTTATACTATGATTAATGTCAGAAGAAACTGAAGAACTTCGTGACATGTATCCTCCATGAACAAACTTGCTAGCTGGAAGTGACTCAGAAGACACAACATGATCAAAAATTAATGCCACTGCTTGTCTGAAAGTAGCTGCTGCAGTACTGGGAATGATTTGTGTCAAACAAAAAAAAGTGAAACATAAATTAGTCAACACAGAACTGAATGTAGCTCAAACAAAAACATGGAAATATAAAAGTATCATCAACATATATGAGAAAAATAAACAGAGAACATTAAACACCTAATTTAAAAAAGGGGGTAATCACAAAATGACCAAAATGGTACGGTCCATTTAACAAATTTTGTGAAATGACACCATCATTTCACAAAAAATGATGTCATTTGGGAAAAAATCAATAAGGTTTTTGTGGAATATTTGGAATTTCCAAAGTAAATTAAATTTTACTCCTTTTATTTTGTGGGATATATAGCATCTCAAAAATCAATAACAAACAAATATTACGGAATTACTTGATAAAAAAAGGAGCAACAAAGAGAGGTAAGTTAATGTGTATTGATGATGAAAGACAGTAGAGTATGTTACTGACATTTTCCATAAAAAGATTGGGCTCAACCCAGGTAAATATGTAGTATAATTCGGTTGCATCTTACTTTCGTACACTATCTGAAGATTTGTTGTTCTCAAGAAGATGGAGACAAATACCAAGAGCTTGGGCAGTGTGCTCCTGCAATCAACAAAAGAATCAACTCAAAAAGGATCTATATAGACATAGAAAGAAAAAGAGGAAAACTAATACACAAATACAGATAGTTTGAAAAGAAAAAAGCAAGAGAAAGAAAGAAAAACAATCAGTAAAGAAAGAGTTTAAAAGCATCTTTGCAATTCTCACCTCACTATCAGGTTGTAAACGGGATTGAAAAATTATGAGTACTGTTTGAAGGGTCTTCAGTTGAACACCTTCATCTGCCATCTCACCATGCTGGAAAACAGCAAAAATTATGTATGTATGTATGTATGTATGTATGTATGTATGCATACACAAACCAAACCATTTTGCTTATTATAGAAGACTGGTACATGGATAAATCCATTATGGTATGAAACAATTAACATTAAAGAAGAAAGATACAATGGCACTTACATCTTTTAAGGTGGCAAGAATCTCATTCAAAGCTGATGGGGCTACAGCATCATGTGCTATGAGCTTTTGTAAGCAGGATAAACCAATGACACTCAGTTTAACTGTCTTAACTTCACATGCCATCAAAAATATCCTCAAAATATCATCATGTTGTGCAATTTCACTAGAACTTGACAATGAGCGGAGCTGCAAGTTAAGAATAATATACATGAATCTCAAGGTCAATCATCAAATATCCAAACAACATAGCACTAGCTCAAATTGGATCATTTATACAAGAGAAGTAAATCATCTTATTAAGTTTCTTTTGTATGTGACACGATAAAGTAAAGTGTAGTAAATGTAAAATTGATTGTAAGGCATGGCATCTTATTCGCACTAACAGCAGGATTTAGGTGGTAACCTTATTAGCATTGCTTAAGTAGTATTGCATTAAACTAGTTTAACTAAAGATTATAGTTTAATGTAAAGCTGTAGAACCCTAGGCTGCACAAGAATCTTCAAATTAAGTTTTTACATATTGATCACATAGACAGAATTATGTACAGCAGCTGCTGCTAAATGCTCAGGTTCATGAAGCAACAATTCCTTTCATGAGTTATATCGAATGAGAATGTACACTAGCTCATAGAAAGATCAATTGTTCAAATGTAAGAATACTAGAAAACAAAAATTAAATCAATCGAACAGAAATGTCACAGCCTAGGGAAAGAACAGAAGAGGAATTAAAGTAAAATTAACCTTCAAGATTGCGTGCTCTGCTCCGTCTTTGATGGCGGGGTACCTACGGCGTGCTTCGGCGGAGAGGGCCCGTAGATCTGACTCCAAAACCGCCATGAAAGCCATCCCCCTTCCTCTGTTTCTCCCTCCCTCTCTCTTTCTCTATTCGCACATATGTCTGTGTGGCTAATTCGATCGATCGAAATCTTGAGCTCAGATTTTTCGCTTGCAGATCTTCTTCTTAGTATCAGAGTGGCGAAGCAAAAAAAAAGATCAGTTTTGTTTATAGTTGCTTTTCACGTGTGACGTGAAGAAGCGCGCGATCAGCGAGTCGAAGCTTGAAGTTAACCGAGCCAAGTTTGATCGAGATGGGGTTTTGGTCATTTTATTTGTATTGTTAACCGCGACAATGGCAAAAAAAAAAAAAAATACTTTATGGGATGTTTTTTTAACAAAATGAAAATGTTTTCTATCAATAGCTGATATATTTTTAAGAGTAAATTACATGAATATTAATGACCTCTCCTTTCAGATACGTAGCTGCAGAACATAACTCACAGCACGCTCATGTGGGCTCATCATTGGCATGTGAGCAGAGTGTGTGGAAATGACGACTTGACATGTACGAGACATACGTCAGCCAAAAGGGGAATTTCATGCCACTAACGAAGATCCCTTCCCCACCAATCAAAGTCACAGAAGATCTCTCAGAAATCACGTGGACCAATAAATAAAGACGCTGAGGATGTTGCAGGGAATGTTCAGGTGGTCTCGTACCCATGTAATTTTGGTGATGTGATTTTGGTGGTCAGATATGGAAAAAACCTAACTATAGGAGAGTATAGACAATTCAGGTACAGGGTACGATCTCTACTCTCACTCATTACATTTACAGAACCAATCACCAATCACCAATCACTGACTTGCTCGTCTGAGCGTCTCTCCGGGATCTCCTCCCGGTACGTGACTGACGTTCTTCATTGTTGAGTGTGACTGCAAGTCTTGAAGGATTTCACCAAATTGGAGTACTTCAGAGATTAACGTCACATCATTGGTGTCATCCTTTGTGTGCAACAACGAGGAAAATGCCACACAATCACATTCATCAAGCAATGGCAACTAAAGGCACTCAATTCGCCCGATGCAACCATTGGAGTCAGTAATACCATTAACCTCATTATCGACATCGAACCAAGCTAGGGATGAGCATTAGGACCGTCGGACCCGGAACCAGACCGGAATCGAACCGGAATCGGAACCGAAATTGGTAACAAGGTCCGGTTACCGGTTCTCCATTTTTACGAAAACCGGTCTCGGTTCTAGAAACCGGAAAAAGTTGACAATTTTCCCGTTTTTTAAAATGTACATAACTCACTCATATGAAGTCGGAATTATTTTATTTTTTTCCAACATGTAAAATGGAGTTTGTAATTCATTTTTGATTGTACAAACATATGTTTTTGTTAGATATTGAATCAAACACATGTCCCGAAAGAAATAATATCGATGTTACGTTTTCTCTATTTCAACATTTTTTTTGTTTTTTTTTTAATCTGTCTCATTTTTTTAAATGTGCATAACTCATTCATATAACGTCGGAATTACTTAATTTTTTTTCCAACATGTAATTTGGTGTTTGTGCTTCATTTTAGACTATAAAAATACATATTTTGGTTAGATATTAAGTTAGTTATAGACCTCGGAAGACAGCATATCAATGCGGCGTGTTTTTTTTCAGCATTTGTTTTTTTTTTTTTTTTTTTGGGGGGGGGGGGGGGGGAATTTGTCCCGCTTTTAGAATGCGCATAACTCATTCATATGAAGTCGGAATTACTTGATTTTTTTTCATCATGTAATTTAGTGTTTGTACTTCAATTTATAATGTAAAAAGTCATAATTTGGTTAAATATTGAATCATTTACAAGCTCCGGGATATAACATATCATCTATAATATTTCGACCGGTTCCAGTTTGAAAAATAACCAAAAAACCGAGACCGGAACTGGAACCGGCGCTAGAATCGGCGGTCCGGTTCCCGGTTCTTATAATATATAGGGAAACTGGTTCTGATTCTGAACCGGTTCGGTTCTAAAACTCATTCCTAAAACCAAGCAGTTGTCCAGGTCACATCTTCGGATTCATTGAGCAAAATATGGATGTCCGGACTCACACATGTTCTAACATCACCGCTCTTCCCACCGGTGGCCGGGTCGCAAACACCATTTACTAATCTAAATCAAACCATCATCACCAATTTCACGAACATCACAACAGCCGGAGTAGCACCAATTTCATTTCAATACAACGCTCAAACGTCGTCGTTAATGACGTTGATAATTATTAGACATATTTATAATATAGTTAAAATAGAGGGTATCTAAATGTAATTAGTATATACATATATATTATTGAACCGTGTACATCATTAACATCATAATACAGATTACAATTCTGTCATGGTATCAGAGCGCAGGATCTAACCCTAAAAATAATTTTGTCGGCCACACAATTGTCGATCAAACCATCTTCTCCTACAATCGATCATCAGCTGCTAATCATCCTCTATGGCTCTTCTCGCTAGCTTCACTGCTGCTGAGAAGCATTCTCACAACACTCATAAGTTTGCCTTTACCCTCTCTCCAACCAATTATGCATACTGGAAAGCCATGATCAAACCCTTTCTTCTTACAAACAATCTTTATGGCTATGTAGACGGTACAATCTTGTGCCATACAAAACAACTTCCTGCTGCAGCAGCCACAGCTGCTGATCCGAAACCTGAACCAAGAGACAACCCTAACTACTCTATTTAGGTCTCCAATGATGCCCACGTACGCATGTTGATAATCTCCACAATTTCAGAAGCATATTTTCGACATGTACAAGGTACCACCTCTCAAGAACTCTGGCTTGATCTCGAACGTGCATATGCTCCACACTCCTCGTCTCGAGAATACACTCTCAAAACACAATTATTGAGAATCGAGATGAAGGGAGATGAATCTGCTGATGCCTATTTGAATCGCGCTCAAGAGTACTCCGATGCTCTAGCAGTTATTGGATCTCCTGTATCAGACAAAGATCTGGTCATGCTTGCCGTCTCTGGTTGACGAGAAGAGTACAACAACCTTAAATCTACAATCACAGCCAGGCAGTGTCCCACCACATTCACTGAACTCCATGCTCTTCTTAGTGATCATGACTTCATGATAGGGAAAACACGAAATCCTACCACACCTGTTGCTCAAGCATTCCATACAACCACGAATGCTGCCTCAACACCCTCAGCATCAGCATTGTTAGCCCAACTAGGCTCTCTTACTATTGACCTCAACTCTCTCGGCTTCAACATTGTACCAAACTCAATGCCTGACTCTCAATCAACAAGTCCTCAAGCCTATTATGGATCTCGAAATAGCAATCGTGGCTCCTATACTCGTGGAAGACGTAGATCATCTCGCCCTAACAACAATCATGGACGAGGTGACCGCCAATTCAGCTGGGCCTCAAACCAAAACACTGTCTATGGCACATGCAATCGGTGTGGTATTGGCCATCTTCCATCACAATGTCCAAACAGAGATCTAGCTACCATCCGCCCACGCAACACTGCCAACCTTGTTGAGAGTCGTGCCTCCACAGGCTTCAACTCATGGTTTCCTGACACTGGTGCCAGTGCTCACATCACGTCTGATCTTGCCAGCATGGACGATTCTCGCACATACCAGGGTAATGACAATCTATATGTTGGTGACGGTAAGAGTTTTCCTATTCTCCACATTGGTTCCTCTCGTATCTTCTCACCAAATAAAACCTTTCAACTCACAAACATCTTACATGTTCCACACATCACTAAACAACTTCTTTCAGTTCAAAAATTTTGCTTAGATAATAATGTCTTTTTTAAATTTCACTCTTCTTTTTGTCATTAAGGCCGTGTCTACAAACACTACTCTTCTCACGGGCCCCAGTGAAAATGGTCTCTACAAGCTCAAGCCTCAGTCGTTCCAGTCCAAGTCTACTTCTCCTGTTGCTTTCTCTGTCGCCCGTGCATCTTCAGACATATGGCATCGACGAATTGGACATCCTCATCAGAGTCTTTTAAATTTTATGTTTTCCAATTTTTCAATTCCTGTTACAAACAAGTCTACTTCTAGTTTTTGTTCATCATGTCAACTTGGAAAATCTTCAAAACTACATTTACCTGTATCTTCTTTTCGTAGTAATAAAATACTTGATTTGGTTTATTGTGATGTGTGGGGGCCTGCTCCTGTTCTTTCCTCTAATGGTCATCGTTATTTCCTATTATGTGTTGATCATCATTCCCGTTACATATGGTTCTTCCCTATGTCTCAAAAATCTGATGTATTCAATCTCTTTCAAAATTTTATCATAATGGTCGAAAGACAATTTTCCACAAAACTTAAGCGCGTTCAGACTGACTGGGGTGGAGAATTGCGCACCCTATCTGTCACACCCCGCTAAAGCGGAAACACGAGGCGTGGCAGTATAAAGGGTTTCATAGCAAAAGTTAAAAGACAACACCAACCATAGTATTAAAAATCATTACAATTTTACAATGGGTTTGAACAACTTTTAAAAGAAATTACAATGTAAATTGAAATACAACACATGCGAATGCTCCTAAAAGTGAAGTGTCCCTAAGTGCCACTTACTCGATGATTCCTGAAAAAGCATGTAAAACGAGCGTCAACTATAAAAATAGTTGGTGAGTACTCACAGATAAACAAAATAATATTGGTTCCATGAATTGAAATCAAAGTTTTGATAAAAGTTTCCAATAATAAAAGTATATTGTTAAAATGAGTAAATAAGTTTGTAAAAACAAAGTTCTTTGTCATCATGAGAGATAAAGTATGTTGCCCAAATAAGATGCAACATTCATATTCTCATGGAAGATAAAGTTCGTTACTCAAACGAGTAAACAAGTTTCATTGCTAAAATGAGCAATCAATTTCGTTGCTACAAGGAGCAAACAATTTCATTGCTAAAACATGTATATAAGTTTTCAGTAATAAAAGTTCGTTGTTGTAATGAGAAACAAAGTTCATTGCTATAATTAATAACAAGTTTATTGCTATAACGAGAAACGAGTTTGTATGTGTATGAGCAAACAATGAGTCTCAACCAAACCTATGACTGAAGCCCTATCAAGATCTATGTTTATCGTTCCATAGATGAATATGGTATCATGCACTCCAGCAATAGGGCGAGTGAGGAGTTGTCAATTCCTAATAGCGCTATCCATAATGACCATTGGCTCAAAGAGTTAATGGTTAGAGATAAGGGAAGGGCCTTAGTACGATAAGTTCTCATGTTCCGTGTTGCATAGACA